ACGTGGGAGGGCGGATTTTAGACAAGTCTCAAAAATATAACAACACTCGATTAATTATGCATATCATTATGTAACGATAAATGTTATACGAGAAACACACCATGAGAAGTATTGACCGATAAAAATATCGTAAACATATTTCTAACAAATTATTAATAAAAAATCGTATGACTTGTGCGTTTATGCCTCATCGTTCTATAATTATAAATACATAAAATATATATAAATACGCTGCTCGATTCTATATTTACAATTCGTTACGTGTTATTTTAATTAATCCAAAGCATATTACGCATAATTGTACAGATAATGCATAGTAGCAGGTTCCATATGCTATTTCTGGAACATAAACGTCCTTTATGTAATTTCGCGTCATCGCTATTGAAAGCTCTCGAATCAAGATTTGAGACGTAACAATACCTACATTACGTTATCATGCTATTACATCAACATAACGTAACAACCACAAGACAAATTTGGCTATTTATCATTCGTGAAATATATGTTTTATGTAATTGTACATAAATCGATGTAAAATAGTTTTTTTTTATTTCCAAAGAAATTGTCAACAATGGGGCGCGGGGAGATAATTCATAGTGATAAAATCGCATGGTAAAGAGTAACACCTCATAAAGAATAAGGATAGCAAGAAATTTTTCGTGTAAACGAAATTTTTCGGCGGGTTAAATGTAAAATTGAAGTTACGGCCGTGGGTCATATATATTTTTTTATCTTCTTTTAATTAGGTACCCAGGAATTACCACGTGGAGGTGAGGTAAAGTCGATTCCCTTTTTTGTTTTTAATTATTTTATATGTTTTTGGTTATATACATTTTTAATTATTTTATACATTATTAATCACTTAAATTTATACTTATCTTATATTTTATGTCGTTGAAAACTTTGTGACAAGAGCAATTTCTTTACTGCCGGGACATATGCTTCTGGCAACTCTGGATCTCATTGTCAGTCACAATTTTTCTGTCAAATTTTTCTGTGGATCAAGCTTGGTCGTCGCGGACCGGATCTGGCCCGCGGGCCGTCAGGTGTAAACGTTTGCTTTCTATATACTTATACGTAATCAGTAATATGATGTTTTAAGTAACTTCAATCGACCCCTCAACTGGGCCACATTTATTAAATACGTTTTTATTGTACAACGTTTCGACCTTTGGTTCAGGTCCTTATCAAGTGGGATCTTGTTGCGGAGTTGTGTCACGAAGAAGTAAAAACGCATTTTATCGGAATGGATATTAAGAGTACAATTTCATTAACGTCCGGAGCCGAGGGATGTAAGACTCCCACTTGATGAGGACCTAAATCAACGGTCGAAACGTTGTGAAAGCGTATTTAATAAATATGACCAGCTGAGGTCGATTGAAATTGGAAATTTGATTATTAATACTGGCAATCTGAAGAAACATAACTTATAAAATAATACTTAATACTTGTATGTGTATATACTCTCTACTGCTAGTTATACCGCACGATTAATTAATTAACGGTAGTAAAGAGAATAGTCGAAATCAATCGCTATTTTTCGAGAGATAAAGCAACGGAACAACTAAGGAAGAAAGTCACTGCAGTCGAGCTTTGTGCCATAAAGCCTATTTACACATTCGCAACTGGCATTGTTACACAGCGTTGTGTAATTAGTCGAGTTTTTGTCATTGCTCCCTATGCACAGTTATGTCGCCGACAATAATATTGGTCTTTGTTACGTGAGTGCCAGCAGACGTCATCGTAAAGCACAATCACATACGCGGGACAGTAGACTTGCGAGAGATACGGGAGATGAGTAATCGCAATCGTGCAATTTACAATATAACAATGTAAACGTATAAACTGAGCACGTATGAGTTAACACTTTCACCACCGCGGTCACTAGTTATCGACATTAAGTTTTTTCTTTATTTTTCATCACAGTAATTCTCATGAGCCAACTGTCAAATAAATGTCCAACATTTTTTCTACAACTTAATACTACAATAGAAATTAAGTATTTTATTGCTCTTTTTCATTAATCCGGCGTGAATGGAAAATTAGTTAAAATACGCTTATTTTTGTTATGTACATTATACACACATACATACACATGTGCGCGCTTGTTGGCATATGTAGGGAGAGAGAGAAAGAGAGTGGGGGAGTGACAGACGAATTCTAATTACAATACTTTTTTATATGTGGTATATGCTAGATATATATATTTTTATCATCAAACATAATTCCTTCTTACTATTCTAGTATTGTATTATTAACCGAGCTAACAGTAGATAAGCCTTTTATGTATTGCGTTATCGATTCCATCGTAAAGGCGATGGTAACAGGAGATGGAAGAAAGTGTCGATTTATAATTGGTTTATATATACCGCGCCACACGTTTCTATCCACGTGAATTAAATTTATTCAGTGTCGACCGAACGCATCAGTCAGTTGACTAATTGTAAGCGTAATTTCGATACCGAGATAATGAGCGATTCTCGGTTAATATTGTATCGTGAATATTATGACCTTCATCGAGATAATGTTAAAATTAGCTCTTTCAATTTCTATGCGTATAATTATAGTAATTTTTATGACACAAATAGAGCAGAATATATTTTTATTAATCCATTCAACTCAATGGATGCGTATGATTCTTACAACAAAAATTCTAGTATTTAAAATTTAAACTGATATAAACTTTTCTTAGAAAAATATACAAGATATATATAGGAAATATGATTACTCCTACTTTTGTTGATATGATCGATGAATTTATCGATATTTCTCAAATACACATTCATCTTGTTGACTTCATCATTATGAGAAATGAAAATTCTCTAATCTATGGGATACTTGAAATCATAAGAATATTCTTCCGATACAAAGAATGCAGATGAATTTGACAGGGAACTAGATAATTGGCACTGCACGTATTGATTCTTAAAAGTATATTCTCTCGCAGGTATATCCACCCCTTGACATCGATCGGTAGGTTCAATGACCGCAGTATATAATTACTTTGTAAGAACTAGACTGTAGATGAGAGAAAGAGAGAGAGTGAGCAGCACTCCCAAAATACCAAATTAAAATTATATTCTTGAATGTCGGTTACGGGACCACCGTCATTTCATCACTACGATTGTATCATCAGAATCATGCGGAATTGAATATTAAAGTTTAAGTAACCGTGCGAGAATGATAGTAAATGATGAATAATAATACCAGAAAAGAATCAATCGACGACTTATAAGACATATGGTGAACACAAATAGTTAAAATTTAATGAATATAATTAAGACAGGAAATATATTAAAAATACTGCGCTCTCTTATATATTTGTCCCTCGTGTACTAAAATAAAATAATCGAGCTCATTTCCTCCTTTCCTGGTACAATAGACAAGTGTGCGATCGCGAAAGATCGGATATATCTCGATACATATATGATGCGATGTGTTTACCATCCCCTTTTAAATTGCCCACGTAGATTCTTCGATTCTAAACTTTCGTTGTGATAGTGTTTCGTTTCCATTGGTGCTGTGTGCAGCTTCCTGCAACCCCTGAACCCCTTCGATATCCTCGACAGCACACGCACTCTCACGTGGACGGCGGGGCATGCGCGTGTTCCCGCGTTCACCTGCGAGGGTATAAAAGCGCGTGTCGAGCGCATCGGACTCAGTTTAATCTCGCAAGCAAGACATAATTGTTCTGAGCGAGAAGTAGAAGCGGTCGAGCGATCGATCGAAAAGGATCAATATATAGTCTGAAGGTGCCGAAAGTAACAAGTGTATAAAGGTCTAGCTTGACTTTAATTGAAATCCACTTGCGGTCCTGACGCGAAAAGTACGCGTGGTGACACGCGATATAAATCTATGCAGCGTATCACGTAATAAGAGGTGGTACCCATCACGGTATCTACTTTAGTCCTCTGGATATCTCGCTGTTACGTGTAGAAGCGTGTGTCACGAGTTCAAGTGTCACGAGTGAAATGTCAAATGACATGGAGGAGTCGACGCAACTGACCGATTCGACCGATTCGACCGATCACCGGCAGCATCATCATCGATATCATTATCATCATCATCACCATCATCACCATCATCATCATCATCATCATCATCGAGGTAGAACGCCCGGGGGTGAGATCGGTGACGACGAGTGCAGCACTGACAGTGGCTGCAGCAGCGGCGGCAGTACCGGAAGCGGAGAACATCTCTCGCGGCGGGGTAGCGGTGAACGATTGTGCAGATCCAGCAGATCTCCGAGAACACATTGCTATCCGGAGCGGCTGCGAGGACGACCGACGCGATCGCAAGAACGGCTTAGCACCAGCGTACAGAGATCATCGGAGCGAACCTGGAGCCCTCCTGAGGACGTCAGGAGTCTACCTCGTGGCGGCGACGGCAGTGGCAGCGGCGGCGACGGCGGCGACGGTGGCGATAGTGGTGGCGGTGGTGTTGGTGGTGGTGGTGTCTCACCCTTATCATACTCCTCCAGTCCTTCGGACGCGCATAGCAGCAGCGATAGCGACTCCCTCAAGAGACCCTCCACCGCGGAGACTCTACGACGGGCTTTTCAAAATCTCAAAATTACCACATCCAAGTGGGACAGCAACAAAGAGAAGAAGCACGCGAAGAAGAGCCCAAAGAGGATCTTGCGTAGCCCAGTGCCCTACATATATGTCCGAGGACCATCTGGTCTACCCACTCAAAGGATTCCCCGAAATTCCAGTTCTCAGCAGCAAATGATACAACCCTGCTCCTGCCAGGATCTGGTCGATCTCTATCGATAGATCTGTAGATAGATATTTCCTGTCGGAAAAGATGTCGTAAATTTTGATCGCAGCGCGGGACCAAGATACTTTCGCGCTTAGATTATTGTTACGTCTCGTCGCGATTTGTCCCTTTCAAATTATTAATTCGGATTTAGGGAATTACGCGATATTCCTCATTTCCGAATTTTCCTTGGATTCTTCCCTTCCTTGTCTCAGGTGCCTCCGTCGTTTTCTCGTCTTTCATTCGACTGCGATTACATTTCCTGTGCAACTTACTATCGGCGCAACTTCTCGAGGCAAGTTGTACTCTTCCAAGTAGTACAAGTCAAGCGTAACGCCGACTCGACGCGAGTTTGCCAACAACAGCGAGACAAGCGATAAGAAAGGAAAAAACTATTAACGTAAAGAGACATCACATTAAATTAAATCTACGCAATGATTACCTATTAGTTGCATATGATCTTCAATACCGGACGCAGAAATTATCAAATTATGAAAACACCAAGTAAACGACAAAAGGATATATCGATTAATTTTCAATTGATTGTGAGATATCAAGAGAGAAAAAAAAGAAACTTTCGTGTATTCAGGATCGTATGCACAATATACAATAGAGTATATATTTAAGTATACTTTTGCAACACCTTTTTACTAAAAACTATCGTAGAGTGTTTAAAGCCAAAATATTAGTCTCGATACATGCACATATAGAACTACAGTCACTCAACTCAATTAGATATTTTTCTCGAATCTGAATAATGTTCTCTGATTAGGCGTACACAAAATGTTTAGAATGTACGAACGTGCAGACTGATAGATTTAATGTATATAATGTATTAATTTATATAGTTACTTATCCGTAAACTTGTACAAGGTTTTATTATCCACACGCCATCGTTATCTCTATTGTAATTATCCACTAGTAGGACTTTTACCGAAATTACTCTCTTTAATGAAGAAGGAGAAATTGCGATGTAATAGTAATAATAATAAAAATTCAAGTATTTTTCAAATGAATTGAAACGAATCTCCGAGGTATGAAAATAATGTTGCGGCGAAATGATTCTAAAAGCAAAAGTTGAACAAATGATGATGATTTACTCACGCTTTTTATCGAAGCTGTAAAGAGATAAAAGTCAATTAAGTACATCGGTGTACAAAAATAGCGTCGCAAAATTATTTCAAGTGCAAAATAAGAATACTGCCCTTAATAACAACTTGTACTATAATTATGATACTATAATATAAACATATTGTTTAGATGTACAGCGAACCATCTCAGTTGCGCAAAGGAAAAAAATCCTCTTTATTTATATACTTGGAAAATCAGTATTATTTACGTACAAGATATGTATAGATACATGGTAAGAATTGGGATCGACGGTACATATCACTATTGATGTTTCCCAAACACTTGTAGTTTCCAAAAAATTAATGAGCAAAATTATCTTTAGCTAAAATCAAAAGAAACAAGATGCGCGTTTAAGATTTTTAAGAGGAGGTCTGAAAGATTATATTATATTACTGAATATATGAAAACGTCTATCTTAAATAATGATATAATTTAAAAGAATTTTTTCATACTATTATGTTTTATTCATATAAATGTACCATTTTATTATCTAGATTACTTCTAGATCTATTTGCTCTTAAATCTATCGAAATTGATATGAAAGTTACAATGTGAATTACGATAGTGCGTTACGATAGTTTCTTTTCGCGTTGATCGCGTTATGTAAACGTATGAAAAAGCTCATTGCAAACAGTTTATTTGGCAGCGCATGTAATTATCATTGTTTATGGAAGAAAAAAACGTACAAGAGTACGTTTAGAAAATCCTTGACAACTGGCAAAGACTGACTAATTTCACAAAATTGAAAAATATGATATGAAATATGAAAAAAGAACTGAAATGTGATTAGCAAAAATTCATAATTCATGAGATACGAATTGAGATAAAAATGTCTGTGTGTGTGCGATTCGTCTCTCTAGTGCCTTGTAGGTACTCCCAAGCGTGTCTGTACGATTAAGTGTTATCAATGGTATGTCAGTAAAAATGCGACAGGAACAAAATCATATCCGCCACGCGGATTTTCGTTAAATATGATAATGTAATTGCAACAAGAAAGATAGAATTAAGATCCGTTACTCAGGACTGAGTGTTTTGTATTGTTTTTGTCTATGTCAAACATTTACGTTTCAAATAAACGTTTTTCATTCTAAAATCTTGTCCCCCTTTCTTCTACCAAACATCGTAACATAGCGCAAATAAAAGTAACTTGTCAGTTTTGGAATCATACATTTATATTATTTTATAAGATAAAGCTCGATAAAATTCAAGAAAATGTATTTCGAGACACGATTCCTAGACACGTTGAGAGTCGATACGAGGCTCTACTGATTTCAGGCACGTTTGGCCAATTTTGGAGAGTTGCAGTAAAGCAACGTAAAGCCGCGAATTCAGACAATAACAATAAGCAAACTAAATAACGCGTTTTAACGAACACGGCGAGAATATTATAGCGCGTATATGCACAGCTTGTTCACTGATGCATTTCATCTCTTCTCCACGATCCATTTGACGCGTCTGCACACATTGGCTGACGATATCTTTCGCGGAAGAGAGAAAGAGCATTATAGGTACGCGCGGTCTCGCGGTATGTGTTTTTTATCCATGGCCATGACAGAACTAAAGCCTGACCTAGTTGCAGGAGCTTGCACCCCTGTGTGACGTCAGGATGCGCAGGAGTCCCATTCACGAGTCTTGGACAAAGTAGATCGGCATGGTTCACCTCCGTGAAATGTCATAGTTGATTCAATGATCCGTTAGCTCCTCTCCCTCGCCATTTATAAAAATAGCTCTTTTCTTTAACATTGCATCTTGTATTTATCCCCATTGAGTCAACAGAAAATAATTGGTAAAATTAATAATTCTATAATCCCTCACGTTTCATTTTATTTAAATATTCCATTTCCACTTTAGAGGGAGATAATCCGCTCTATTACAGCACCCTTTCTTCCAATTAATTCTACAAATTTTTCACCAAAACAGGAATTACAGGAATGATATAGATTAAATTTGCTAATATCGTCCTGCAAGTGAGAGAATTGGATGACACTGAGCGGAAAAATGCAATTCCGATAGTAAGCCCTGTCGGGTGATTAGTCTACAACCGCACAGTGATCTGAAATTGATGGAAATGTTGGAAGCCGACGAGTACTCGATATCTTGCAGGAGACCAGTTGAAAAGCGTGTATCGAATAGTTTTCTCTCGAGCTAGATGCAGCTTCTGCAACTCTACGATCCTTCGTTTCCTCTTGCCCCTACGCAAATGCAATGTCTTTGGCCCAGTTTTCTCAACGGCGCAGTGACGTCATTCACGTCATTGAGAAGGCCACTGACAACGCGTCCCAGTTCCTGCCGCCGCGCCGTGCCGCGCAATGCGGAATCCTTCGACCCTTTGTCGCGGTCAATCTTGGACCTACGCCTACTCGATCAGCTATCGCTCTCCTCATTTTTATATTTCGCAGAATTACATTTCTTCAAGATTAAAAGATATAAGAAAATCTCTATTCAACGTTGGAAAAATACTGTAATTATGTCAATGCAACGTTTCGTCGACGTCACGACAAGGACATCGAGCTCAAGTAGAATCGATGGTATCGAGAACAATGGAAACAGAGAGGGAGAGAGAGATTTCGCGTCCCCCATTCACCCCGTTCGCGCCTAGCCCAAACCGTCTATAATGGTCGGTCGTGGCCGGAACGAACGCTGCCTGAAGCTGCGCGAGTTCGTTGACCTTTCGTTGCACCTGATGATGACGCGATCGTTGCGTCACGTCGTCATAGCGACCACGCACGCTCGGCGAGAAACTGGAACTTTGACCTGCAATCGGATCGACAGACGAATGACACTGGATGACCCTATGGCACCCCTTCTCTTCCGCTCTCCTCTCACCGCCTCAGAGTCGAGCGTAAAGTCACTCCACCCTTCTCTGCATACCCTGTCGTATTTTCAATGCAGGTAAAAATGCTCAATGGATTAGTACAAACTTTTACCCTTTGAGCGTTCTTTAGTAGGACTAGCACTACAGCTCTTGTCCTTTCTCCATATAATATTTAACACTTTGTGCTATAAGGCATCGACGTGTTTTTATGTCACCTTACCCTATCAAGCTTTCAAAGTGATTAAAGTTTTCAAGACAGTTAAAAAATCTTTCGATTCTTTAACGCGACGCGAGAATTTATTTCCTCTGTTGAATACGATTCTTCCGCGACACTCTTGAAGTGTATCGATTTGACTGAAATAGCAAGACGAAAACGTGATCCATCGCTACGCGTGATGGAAAACGTCACGTGTCACACTATGCTGCGTTACATCACCAACTTGACACCTATAAGAAGAAGCATGAACTTGGAAGACAAACCCATAAATATTATATTATATATACAGCCAGTACGTGTGAGCGACAATGCGAGTTTCTAAAGGGAAATTTACGTACAGCTTGGTAAAGAATTTCAAGTCTCTTTACGAAAGATAGAAAGAATCAAATATGCCTCTGTCTCGAATCTTTATAAAGATCATTATTTGTTATAATCGCAATCACGTGCAGAATATTGGTTCAAGGTATTTCAAAATACTCTCGCACAATACAGCGTACGTGCGACATCAATTCTACTCTAATCGTAACACCTAAAGTCGATCGTTGAAAGAGTTACATATGTATACCTATAATCCTTCTTCAACTGACAATGAGTTTCAAAGAAATCGAATGGAACAAACGGAAAAGGATTGAAAAGAGAGATATAACATTATAGAATCACAATATATTACTTTCTGTAACATTAAGTTATACAATTATCTTCTTATCGTCATCCACTGTAATTTATTAATAGTAACGTTATTTATATATGTATATATTGTATGTATAATATAATTATAATTGTATTATTATATAATATAAATCGGCAATGCATAATAACAACATCGTCATAATTGCTTCGTATCGTGTTAAAATCTGATTTGGATCAAGTGAAGGAGCGCGAACAAACAAGAATGAGCAAACAAATGACTTCGACGGAGATGAATTGCGCGGCGCTACGATATTCAAGTCGCTCATTTGTGTTTGCCCCTCGCTTCCTCACATGGTCTAAATCTAGTTCTGTACACGAGGATATGATCGATGTTGGATTGAGAGTCAGAAGCTTTTGCGGAACAATTGGAAATCTCGTCCATAAATAGATTTTCTATTGTGTCTGAAAAGAGTGTACAACATTATTATTATTGTTATTATTATACAACAACATCACATCATAGGCACAATCGTTGTCGCTTATATATCAATGCTTGACAATTATTTCGACACTTGGATAAGTATACGATACGCGACTGATGGTCTTTGGTAAATAAACGCGGTAAAGGATAGGAAAGAAGATGTGCGTATTGCCGAGCGCCAGCGAGAACAAGTTTATCCATCGTATATAATTGTCTTAATACGATTTAATTAATTGCTTTGCAAAGTCAGGGTCATTGTACTTTCGATTACGCACGCTCAACTATGCTTTCAAACGATATTCGTTATTTGTATAAAAATTGACACGTGGTGTCAAGTTTAAGTTAGCTCTAGTAATTATTAGTAACTGCTGATTGTAAAGCTGTAATGGCTGGCTTTCTAATAAATAGCTGACAAATCCACAGGGAGAAGAAGAAAGATGAGCCTCGATGGAAAGGGAAACTTTTATACATGAGATACGTGTGTGCGTATATTTCCTTCTAATTTTACTCTCGATATATAGTAGTAAAGAATTATTGAGATTTCTCGCATTTGTGGAATATTGAAGATATATTATATATAAAAATACACGTTCTTTATCAATTTAATCTCTGTCTCTTTCTCTCTCGTATTGTGGCATGTTAAATTAATAAAATTAAATTGTCACGTGTTAAATAATAGTTGTGTCTTCAATATTAATTCTTCAAATAAAAAACATTGTACAATGAATGCAAATGTATAGAATATTACTTTTCTAAACTCAAAAGTTAGATTCGCCCACGAGTGGATAGAACCCACGCGTGAAATCATAAATCTGCTAATAGTATATTTCACAGCCTGTATATACAGGAAAAATTGAATTCCATTTATACGATGCATATCTTTCGATCGTATTTGTATAATTGCTGCTTTTACCACCAATTTCTTCGTCATTAGCCGACTACGAGACTCGTCGGTGGGGTTTGCTAGTAGCTTAATTCTGATTATATAGATTATCGGTGAAATTACGACGCTGCGTATACCTTCTTTCGAATGTAGATACAAAAATACAATAAGGGAAAAAATTCATGTTCGCTTTCATCGTTAAACTTTTCGCCAAAAGTTAGTATTACTTTCTAACAATAAGGTCACATTTCTATGTGTAAATATATCGCTATATGTATATCGACATACTGTTAACGTGCCTAAGTTTGATGTTGATTTCTCTTTGCATTTTGATTGCATTTTGTACTTTGACAATGTTCGTTATAGCGAGATGTATAAATCTAAGCATATAATCTCATCGTAGTAAATTAATGTTTTTTTTTTCTGATTCGCCTCTCGCGTCGTTTGTTTGCACAAAGTACATCATGGGAAATTGCTGAAACTCTAAAAACTTTTAATTACCCAGGCTTAATTATTTCGATAATTTAAAAAATGCACCAAATGGAAAGAATTTGAATATAATTTACAATAGATTGAGAACAACGTGTTATTAGCAATCCACTATATCTTCATATATTCGTAACATATTTTTAACAAGTTGGATAGCTTTATCTTTTTATATACGAGAGAAGGTGTGAGAAATATAAACCGGCATTGGATAAAATTTCTAATATCATCGATTGAATTGCACCATTAACGTTTACTTATGTATTCAAATATGTACTTGGATCTGCAATACATTTTTTTATTAAAATGACTTGCCTTTCGTCATCGTGAAATCATCGCGGTAATCAAAACAAAGCAGCCTCGTCGTTTTTCTTTTTCTTTTTCTCTTTTTTTTGATAACGCGTAGATTGCATTAAAGCAAAACTATCCAGGTACGATTGAAAAGTGTTTGTGCTAAACGTAATTAAAAGGTTAAATGAATTTGGCAGAATCAGGTGTAATAACCTGGGGCGCATTTTTGCCATTGCTTCCCCCGCTATCGTTATTATGACTAATTTTACTCTCATGGTTATTACTATCGTAAGGATTGTTATCGTGATTAGTATTATTTACCATTAATATCGTTACTTAATTATTTTACACAGTCGTCGGCAAACTGTACACGTCACATACCGCACGCCGCGTGACGCGCATCCTGCGAACAATAGAATTCCAATTGATTCGTTGTTTGCAGAATACCTACACTTGCATATACCCAGGGTTGGGAAGTAACGCGTTACTTGTAACGCCGTTACCATTTTCGTTACTTTTTTTCGGTAACGATCGTTACTTTTTTATGTCTGTAACGGTAACGGTAACGTCGTTACATTTTTACAGTAACGGTAACGAATTCAGCCGTTACTTTTATCGTTACTTTAGTTCCCTATTATCTTTTATATCTGTTCAATAGATTGTGAGCTGGTCGCGCGCACTATTCTTGATTGGACAAAAATATTCCGATATTGGGCGCTGGAAGTCAATGTCACATGAGAATGCGCTGTAAACATTTATCGATGTCTTGATTCTGGGGCCCGATTCTTGAATTCATTCGAAGAAGAAACGTATACGAAAATTCTGCTCTGACAGAAAAGTTGAAAGTCGATTGGTCAAAAGCCACGCGTATATCCAATCAACTTGCAACTTGTCTGTAAGAGCAGAATTTTCGCATATGTTTCTCCTTCGTACAAATTCAAGAATCGAGATCCTGTATGCTCGATGACTTGCTATATAGAAACTAGTTTAAAGTTTTAAGTTTTAATATTGATTATTAAATAATAATAATAATGTAATATTACAATTAACATCTTACTTCAGCATTTCAACAAAGTAACGAAAAAGGTAACGAATCGTTACTTTCTAAGTAACGGTAACGGTAACGCGTTACTTTTTAAAATCAGTAACGAGTAATGGTAACGAGTTACTTTTTACAAAAAGTAACGGTAACGGTAACGCGTTAGTTTTTTAAGGTAACGTTCCCAACCTTGCATATACCCAAATGTATACATACACATTTCCGTTAAAGCGCACAATTTTTACACTTGTTGCTCATGTAATTTCACATACTTTTTTTATAGCATATTTTAATAAGAAGGCAGCCGAATTAGACTCTTTCCCCGGACGAAATTAGATGCTCAATAATTCGATGATCAATGATCAATAGTGTGTAAACTTACATCATTACCATATTATTGGAACAAGACAGCTAGAAAAAAGATATATGTAGATGACGGAGATGTTTGGTAAATTTGACGCGTATTATAGCGTATGTTTAAAATTCTACTTTCGAGATCGACTTCATTATTATCACGTAAAAAACGTAACGATCAATGCAAAATATCAGTGTATTAAAACGTATATTAAATGAAATAAAATTCAATGAACTTTCACATTAAGATCTAATTCCATTTGTGTGAATGCAAACGTTCCATCTTTGTAAAATTGTATTTGCAGAATATTGACAGAATATTGATAGCTGAAATGATCTCTCTTCGACTCGGAAATGTGAGCAACGAAAATGTGAAAGGCATGAAAGTTTTACAAGTGGATTACAATCGTCGTTTTCTTTTGTTATGTTAAAAAATAAGTCGCATGTCCGAAATGTAACGTATCGCGCGTCTGCGTTACCGCGAACACAGAAGCATAGAAGGCTTTCGTTCGAGTGGCGGAACCTTGATGTACAACCTAAAAGTCATAAATATTAATAGATAAGATTACCCTCCAAATTCTGGGTGAGGAAAGAAGAGCGATAACAATTATACACGTATACATATATGCAACCATCGTGCTTCATCGAAAATATACCTTTCGATTAATCTCATTGTCAGTAATATGCAATCGAAACGAAAGATCCGGTTGGAGAATAGGAGCAAGCAGAATTAATGCATTATTTCCACAAGCAAATTATCGAACACGTTAGATGTATCGGTCAATATCTATTGGGGACAGGCACTTTCTCATGCGCGACACCATTAGCAAATTCACTCGTTTCTGAACTCTAAGAGTCTTACCTATCCTATTCGCTCAGTACTGGCAGTAAGGACCTTACGCGAGAAAAGTTGTATTAGGACATGTTTCGTATTGTTAAAATATAAATATATTTGTATTATAATAACGCTTAAAAGTCTTTTGAGATTGTAAATGTAACGAAACTTATACCTTTCATTACAACTTGGGAATATTGAGCTCAATATTACTAAACAATATTGTTAGATATAGAAGACTTGAGATACTCACAACTCGATGCTCTGAATAGTGGATGTGGGACACATCGCATCGACTTTCACGTGACAATGTTTGTGACACTTCATCTGACAGTCTCTGCATTCGTAGCCCTGTTTACCGAGCCTTCGTGCGAGGGTTCTTTTGCATACTTCGCAAACTGTCCCTCTAGAAACAAAATTAATCGGACGATTGTATTTCGCATATCGTATTATCGATATATTATTGTACTCTGTCAGAAGGAAATTTAAATACGCTATTGTGAAATTTATCATTGCTAGTGATGTGCCAACAGTCGTATTGATAATGCTATTATCAGAGCAAGATAATGTAACTCACCCCGCCATGTGTTTGGCGATAAATGTATGATCGTTAAATATGTGCAGCTTTGTCCCCTTTTTCCTCCATTTACTTTTCTGTGCGAGGGAAAGTGGTACGAGGTAGTGTCTAAAATTATAGTAAAGGAACATGAAATGGTGTAAAGGTATTGTCTTCTTAAAAAATAAAAAAAATTGATAACTGGGGAAAAGAGAGAAAAGAGGGAGAGACTTACTTCTTTATACCGTTCTCCAAAGTTTCAAGAACGAGCGTGGAAGCTTCATTGACGTACGTTCTCGTGGATGTTCCGCTTACACCCGAGGCTTCGCTCAGACTCGATCGTCTCGATTGTTCTGGTACTGACAGATGAGCTAAAAGGTGAAACAATTTCTCTTAGATATACGGCAACGTTTGCTAATGCAGATGAAAGACTAAAAACATAAATTGAAATGCAAGAACGAATAAATTATATACTATTATAAAAAATGTACTCTACTTAAGCACAACTGATAAAAATTTTATCGCAGCAAAACACCTGTAACGAATTGTGATAAGTTATAGCGATCAATTATTAGGAAGATCAATTTTTAGGCGTACTTATATTGATCGATTTCGTCTGTTGAAAAGCAAAGTTTCCGCAAACTATGTTCTTTCTTGCTAAGATACTTACCAATGAAAGACGAATACCGTGAGAGTTACACACATGTGAGCAAGACAGAGTGTGCATAAATGAGTAAAATACAATACTAGTGATATACCATCGAAAAATGACTAAAAACTTAAATAAGTTAATAATATGATAAAACTAGTAAAATTGTTTTCTAAGTGCACGCAATAAATGGAAACATAAAATTGTGACAAGTATCTTACATTATTAAAAACTACATGTTGCTATAGAGGTAACACAATTAATGTAATTTACAAAAAGGAATGCTGAAGAGGCAGATTTAAAACCTTACCAGATCCAGGATCACGAGCCCTGTCGGCGGATATAGATCTCGAATGAGCGTCTTCATGATTGAACTCTCCCTCAGGACCCACTGATTTACTCCTCGTTTTGGATCGACTCAATCGTTTCTTTATGGTACCAAAGAAATCACGTCGTTTCCTTCGTGTCCTTCCTCTCTCTGTGCAAAATAAATGTTGTTTATTACAGTCACAAATCTCTGCAGGAATACATGACGAATACGCGATGAAAACAATATTGTAGGCAATAACACAACATTATTAATGTTGAAATTGTCTTGATATAGAAATTATAATTTTAGTATAATTTGTATGAGTTGGGATTTTAATCGCTAAAAAAGTCTCACCTTCTGAATTGGAGGAATTAGGCGTGCTTTCTGGTCCCGAGACAGCATTGACATCTTTTGTTCCGTGCTGCAAAGAGATTGCATGAAAAAATGTGTACAATATACAGGATTGTCATAATGAAATTTTATTGCCATACTGACATTTTGCTTACTAACAATAAGATAAGAACGGTGTTACAAATTCACTTACCTCCAGGGATATCTCTTGCCAGTTTCCATTCTCCGTCAGAGTGACCTGTTACACATTAGTAAATACACAGCACTCAACCATGGTTAATACTCTCATGAAACAGAAAAAAAGATACTTGATGTTAAAATAAATTGAAATGCAACTCTGAATAACGACACTTTGAATGACGAATTTACTTCTTAATCTTTGCTTCAGCATCCAAGTACCAGATGTCTGTCTTAAGTTGCATCTCGTTGCAAGAACTATCCTTGAGGTTTATTTATTTTTTCGCGTTATAAGCGAAATCACACGAAATGCAAACAATCAACACTATCGTGTTTCTTACCTTCACAATCTGCCGCTCTGGTTGCTGCAAAAGAAATCAAATAAGAATCATGCTTTAGTAGAAATCACAATAATTCCAAAGATTATATTTGCCAGGGATGAACAGTGATTTCATTAAAGCGGGCAATTTTTGGAAAATTAAAAACTTTATACACAAAATTATTCTGCGATACATGTGGAATGTTTCGACAGCATGGAAAATTCTACTCGTTTTCATAAAAATTCACCCCTAACTTTGTAGTTATTCGTAATTGTATTTCACGCGAGTGTTACATTAATTTTCATGCAATAAAAAGTACTTTCAATTGCTTCACAAGCTTACCCTTTGCTGACTGTGTACGATCAAGGTCCCCTTGTTACCATTCGTTTGCCCACTTTTATATGGTGAGTCCACAACGTTGCCATTCGTTAAATAGTCTGCAAAAATATTTTTCTAATAAAATTTCATAAAAAAACATTTATTTGATAAGAACTACGACCCTCTCTCCATTTAATTTATTCCAACTTATACAGAATGTTCCAGATACTTGTCTGGAAAAATTGTTGAGCTTTTATTAACTTTTCCAAATAAACGTTAAACGTGAATTAGTCGTAGAAGTGTAAACGACTTGAAGCTTAAAAAAAGAACAGAGACAGACCAAAATATGTATATCAACTTCCCGTAGAGGGAAAAGGAAAAAGAACATGTATGTAACACTCTGTATATTTTATACACTGAATCAATTCTTGTAAATAAATAATTTTTACAAGTTTGCCTTTGGTTGCGTTCGGGTGATGCCTTATCCATGGTACTGTGAACGAGAAATAAGAATCTAATTGTCCTCATGCCAGCTAACAATAAGTTTGGAGCAAATCAGAGGAACGGTTTCAACGGTTTTAAATTTAAACAAATGCTACATACTAGGGGGTTGAAATCGGTTCTAGTTGTGAGAAACATGAGGTTGTGCCTTCGTACAAAGACAGGTGAAAAAAGTCACTAATATACTAATGAGAGGAAAATCAATCGAATGTAGACACTTCACACTTGAACGCCTGATAAGTAATCGGTAATTACCCCCTTCCGACTGTGCGGCAGAGTCGTACAAGATAAGTGTACTGTTACCGTTGTTGTAGTTGAGATTATTGCTGGTGATGACATTTGTTTGGCTGTAGGAACGGGTCGGCGAGACTGGCTTTATCGCCTCCTTGACTTTATAAGGCTTGGTCCCAATTTGTGGTACCTCCGCACCCTCGATGAACAAAAACTGAAACATGTAAACAGCGGCATGAAGCCAAGAAATCGGTACTAGATGATCGATTTAATTAAAAGAATTCCTTTAAAGACATTTCGAATATCTAAAAAGGATTGATTTTATTTAATTGCGCGAATACCGCGTTTGATGAAGAAGAAAGAAGAAATTGTCAACCTTACCTCCACCGTGAGGGTGCCTGTAATGTCATCTTCCTCGTATGGTCGCGCCTGAAGAGGTATGATCTGCCGCTGGCTCGGATTAGCGAGGAGTTCCTCGACACCTACGATTCCTAGCCCCAAAAATCGTTGACTTTTGTTGACACGGTCAAACACTTCTAATAACACTTCGGTCGTATTGTGGCTTATATCGCTGCAAATATATAATGGTATAATGAAACTTATTGTCCGTGTGAGAATTTTTCTCATTTAGATAATTACAATAAAAACGCCTCATCCCATAGTGGATTTTTGGTATCTCTCTTTATAGAGGTTTGATTCTTTTGCGGCGGTTCATCCAACTCCACAACGCAATAAGGCTCCTTGGCTCCTTGTTGGCCGCCGAGGTCGATAGCCCTCACAACTTTGACGAGCAAACGTCTCTCGCCAGGCACATATTGAATTGATGTAGGCGAGGGTGCGGTATGTCCTTGAAGGCGTTGATGCGGTGGTTGCGGTATCATCGAATTCGATGCGTTCTGCGAGCAAAGTCGTTACGTAGCGAGCGTGTGACAATAATATCACGTGGTGATCATTTGCAAGAGTGCGATTTTATATTTACAAATAAACAAATACGACTTTATCATGCCAATTTACTTACTACACTGTCGTAATGTATAGGATATGAGAAGCCTGGCTGAGGAGGCGGCTCTCTCCATAATCGAGGACACGTGGGATATTGAGAAAGATTGAGGTGAACGTTGGTGCCTCGCAGGGCACCCACCACAATTTCCGACACCACTTCTTGCAACTGGCTTTCATCCAAGTCTTTCTTTATTGTGCCTACCGCTGCCAGAGAAATCTTTACCTATGATATACGGGGGAGAAATGGCAAATTAGATGTGCTCCATCCATTATCCGATTCATACCGCAACTATAATCGCTTTCCATCCGAGAGCGCACGAAAAAATTGACCAAAACTATATAAACACACGATGCGATTCAGAGTGAGTAGCAAATAGCTATGATCGCACAATGACGGGACGGAAGTTTTCGCGCGTTACATCACAGGAAATCCGTTGATAATTAAGTTGCACGCACCTCTGGCCAACCGTCGCATTTCAGATCGATTTGCAGCTTCTCGGTGATGCAGACGACGTTGAGGCGAGCACGGAAACGATTGACATTGACCCGATAGTGATTAACTTCTACCTTATCCCCTCGTTGCCGAAATGCTTTCAGTTGCAAAGCTGGAGTAGCCTCGCAGTCGCATGTGATAGTCTAAAGATGATTATTTCTTTTTTCTAACGTGATTGCTAATTACATCTAATATATTTCAATATTAAATTATGTTGTATGGGATTTTGCCCAGAACGTTTACGTACCACATCGTCCTTCGAATCGCATTCACAGAAGATATTTGACAAGGTTGGCGGATAAGTCTCTGGAAGTACGCGAACGAATTCGACGCCAACTCCGTGCTGAAACATATAAATGTTTAATTGCGACCATACATACCGGCACCGGTCGGCGGGATACGCACACTCGGAAACATCTGCACGTCACGTTTCTTTATATTATGCGTGCGGCGTGATAATTATCTCGTTCGCTGTCTTTTTTTATCTGGCACGCAATCGTATGATACCACTTGTTTGCATAGTCGTATTATACATAACGATTTTTCCTCTTTATTCTCGACCAAGCAAAAAAAGAATATCTTTCAGACATAGACATGAATGGATAACGATACGTACAATTTAATTATTATTTATTAAAATTGCATACATTTTTCTCGCTGACTCCATTTTAGAAGATTCCTCTTGGGTGATTAATTCAATTCTTATTCAGCGAGCATGCAGCGTTGTTCAAATTATATTATATAATACACGCAACTGTTTTGATTCTTTCCTCGTAAATTATAACTTTTTAAATCCAAATCTTCCGACTACAGCACTACGTAATAAATAAACGTTAATTAATTGTACAAGCCAAGCTGGGATTGGCGTCAACGCTCAAAGAAATTTAAGTTATTCAGCAGCAAAGCGATGCGATCGGCTACACGTGGCAAGGACAGCGCCGAACCGTAACGCCTTTTTATATACTTTTATATACTAGTGACCTTTGATGTAACGTACCTTGACCCATGTAAATGAATACGAGCCATTCGGTGTTTCCGCGAGAAAGGAAAAGATTCACGCGCGAGTCATTCCAACGTAAGATTATGATTAATTGCCGTAATGTATAGTTGCCAAGACCAATTGTTAAAAAGACCAATTTTTGGTACGAAACATGGAGTTTTATTTAAACGGGAACTTTCAATTACTTGTAGTTTGTTTATGCGTTTAATTCGTTAATTTATTTATTTCGATAGTTAATGCCAATATTGAAATAAAGAAGGAATGATTATTAACGCTATAAGATGGTTGCAAAATCTAGGGAAGCACCTGCAATCTCAAGTACATGGACCATTTGATTGAAAGTGAAAGTGCACGTCTCAGAATGACCGAATAGTCTAATTAGTCTAATGAAACGTGGAATTCAACACGATTTCAATATGAATATCATATTGAGATATGCTTATAACGTGCATACAATCGAAGGGAGAATGAAAACATGGAAACTAATAGTAAGAACAAGCATCTCCACTCTATTCGAACGTTCGAGATCGTCTTATTCGAGATCGTCGCATACGCACGCAGACACGCACGTGTCCCCTTCTCTTTTCACCCACGCCTCGAGAGGAGTAGCGTATCTCGCCTTATCGAGTGTGACGAGCCGTACAAAGTTCCATGTAAATTTGAATATATTCTACGGGATATGTATAATAAACGACATGTATCTGATAGAATTGGAGCACATTCGTGGTAATTGTTAATTTGATGAAACTGAAAGGCTCTTTCTCTTCGTGACTCAAGATTGAACATGTTAAGATTAAAGTTTCAGGAAATGGAATTCTAGAAAAGTTAGACGATACGTTATGATACGAATCGGTCGAAACGATGAGAATCGACGGACGTCGTCCTCTCACCTCGTCGGTAGAGCCGGCGGTGAAATGGTTAAGGGAAACCACCCAAGTGGCCAAGAGTTCGTTGAGGATGACGAGGTCGTAGTGAAGCCACACGATCAGTTCGTTGACCCAACGCACGGCCTCGACGTCCGCGCCGGTCGCGGTCGGCAGATGCAGCGCCCTGGAACTTCGGGACGGGCTGATGAGAGCACCGGAGGTCTTCCGGGTGAGACGTTTCCTGATCGGCGGCGTGGGCGGCACGTAGCCTCCCGGCGATGGTGCTCTCGCACCTGCTACCGTACCGATACCGGTAGCGGTACCGGCACCGGCACCACCACCACCACCACCGCCACCGCCACCACTACTACCACCAGCAGAAGCACCAACGGTACCGCCGCCACTAACGGTACCACCGCCACCTGCACCACCGGTACCAGCCCTCGCGAGCGATGACGAGGACGGTGACACCGATTTCGACTTGTCGAATAGTTTTCCAACGATGGTACCAGCGGTACCCGTCGTCACGACACTCTCGTCGTGACGGACATGGCCATCCTTGCCAAGCTGCGACGACGACGTCGACGACGACGACGATAATGATGAAGCGGTGGCGGCGGTGGTAGCGGCGGTGAGGTCGTTCAGCACAAAACGATTGTACACGTATTTGCCAACGCACAACACCACCAGACCAAACAACATCCAGCCGAATATCAGCATCGACAGCGTATCCATGGTCGTTTCACCAGTCGAGTCGAAACTGCATATCAGATCGTCCACCCGCTCGGCCAAGTCGGCCATATTGCCCCATCGTTCTGCCAACCAAGTCCAATTGGATTCCAAAAACATTCTTTTCTATTTTCACCCGCGAGCAACCGCGGCCCCACCACTGCTCTATACTTGGCTATTAATACGCCGTACATATACCCTGGGTTCTCCCAGCCATGCTACACGGCACTGCTAGCCGTCATCTTCCTCCACGTCGTCATCTACTCGTGTGTCTATCTAGCGTGTATTCGCTTCCGCTTCGGGGATCTGCAACCTTCTATCCGACCAGACCTGGCCATCGGTCTCGAGGTCGCGCACTGTCCTCGTCACCTCTTTCCTTCTCAACGTTCGGCTGGCCCAGCCATTCGTAAGCACAGGGGTTGTCGGCCTTCGAGTTGGATCCACGAAGGCTCCAATTACTCGATCGAGACCAAAGTTGAGAGCTTTCGAGCGGACTTGGAGACTGCACGCTTTTTCCAAGGTCTCTTGCCATCGAGCTAGTGGTAACAATTTTTTTTATTGATACCACTAGTATATATATATACATATATATAGTAGTTTTTTCTACGTACTATCTATCTGTGCGTCCGAGTGATCCGAGAGATCAGATAGCGCATCGGTAGCTGGACGTGATGCACGGTATTTTGAAAGACGAGGAGGTTTCGATCTTTGTTGCACCGAGATTAATTAAAATATGTTTTGTAATAAGAGTACACGTCTTTCCTTCCTCTTATTCTTTGTCCAGACGGTATGAGACGAGGCTACTCCAGATAAACTGCAAAAGGAACATTCAATAGATTAAATGACTCAATGATGAGATACAGTAGGCTGTGAGACAGAAAATTCGACATCAACTGATAATACTTATGTGGATTATTTCCGCAATGTTATCGCAACTGGCAAATTTATTTGTGAAACCGAGTTTCACAGATTAAAGACTATTTCGAACCCTCTCTCTCTCTTCTATATTTTATTAATATTTGGTTGTAAAAGACAGAACCGTTGCATGGTCTTTCGAAATATAAATAGCGTAAATATGCTTAACGCTTCAGTTGTTGAGGAAAGCTGAAAAGAAGTCTCGTTCCAATTATGTCACGTTTCGCCGCGTTGACAAATAGTACCGTTGTCATGACGGATAGCCAGCGTATATAGGCCCTTCTCGTTGTATCGTTCGGTGATTACGGCGATAACAGGTAACGACGAATGGACGCAACAGCGAGAATTGTCCGCCAGCAACCTTGGCAATGTCTTATCACTCGACTGTCATAATTTTCCCTCGCTCGAGAGATAGATGCGTACATCGCGTGAACGGAAAAATATTATCGATCACACATCTAGAAGAGGAGGAAATATTGGTCGCTCGACGAGAAGATTGAAATTCAATCTAGAGTTGTCGATCAATGGGACCGGATCAATGGGACGGGTCAACTACGAGAAAAGAGCAATGCGAGTTCAATCGGGGCAAATAAGTAGCCGCCGGGAGCAAACCAGTAAAGAAACAGAATGATGAAAAGATTTCGAGGATGAAAACTCACTCTCTTCCAAGCAAAACGGTTAATAAATTTTTTCGTACGTTCCGTATAAATGTCAATCAAAAGCAAAAATAAAGGTAAGAGGCGTGAAAAGATTATTTAACATTTATTATTGTAAAATCCAAGTTATTCAATTTGAAAATGGTAAAAGCAATCTCTTTTAATGCTTACAATTGTGTCGAATGAAGTGACCTATCACATTCGCCGTTCGATAAGCGACCTTAAATCGCGATACCGCGAAATCTGGTGAATGTCTTACTCCAAGTTACACTTTCGCTTTACCGTTTACAACATGTGGAAAGTGTGCGCGTGCGATTTCGGTCGCGGTCATCGTGTATAGTCGGGTTTCGGCATTTGCTCTACTATCTTATCTGTTACTTTGACTGGATTATCCATATATCCTTTTTTACGCTATCTTGAAGAATTTTAATAAGAAATTATTATATTAATAACGACACCAACGGATTCACATTGACAAATTTCATAATAAATAAAAGAAAAAACTTGTGTTATTTTGGTAAATGTAGTTTTTAAGAGATGATGGATTAAATCGCGACCCAATTGATCAATCTCGAGAACGAGTTTATTATGCAATTTTGTCGGTAAGCAATAAAATGAGCTCATACACGCACATTTCCACCCTCGTAAACAGTTGGAAATACGACACTAGGTATTGATTAATCTGGGCAAGACGACTTTGGTACTTAATTCCTTTGATTCTTCGTGCGCACCTCCGAGTGTTAATTGTCGTCAGTTGCTGTACAAGATAATAATTTGTGGAATCGTGAAAAGATGTATACTATATGTATAGTAGTAGCATCATTCTGAAACTTGCGAAACGTAGCGCTCGAAATGCTTCGAGTGATAATCTTGCTTGACGGAGACCACAAGAAACATGGAACAACAAAGGAAGAAGCCTGTTACGTTGCGCACTGGACACTCAAAATTGGAATGTGAATTGTGTCGCGACGCATTGCGTCCCTCTGGATATAGTCTCTGTCGAAATTGTAAAGAAATGAAATCCTCGGCAACAAGCAATTTGGAAAATGGAGATAAATTTTGGTGTGGTATCTTTCACTCTGACACTGAAATCGAATTCAAGGTAGTTGATTCAATGTAATTAATAAACAACACTATGTCGATTGCACAGATTCGCTTGGCGACACGCTCGAGCGCGGCGTGTTTCATTCACATATCGCACTTAATTCCACTCGAGAGCGACAACAATGACGGAGAGTGACGACACGATGACGCCTACCTCGCCTCCTGGCCTCCTGGCGGAAAATGGACGCTTCGCGCTTCGCTCAACGCCGGCGTCGCAGCGGCGGTGGCGGTCCGCGGCAGTCTGACCTGACTTTCGATTAATCAGCACGCTCGCGCCTTCCTTCCGAGCTCGGAGGGGCAACCCCCCGCTCCGACTCAGAATCCGACGTCTACGCTGTCCACGACCCCATCCTTCCTCTCCATACCCTAAGGGACAAGATTACGCTTTTTCAGGGTGAAAGCTTCACTCTACATCTTGAAATATATTTGAAATAGATTATCACTCGCCATATCTCCTTCCTCGACAAAACTTGCTTTCCTATGTCTTCATGTCTTTTCACCTACCACCATGCCATCTTTAACCATCTTTAACAATTGTTGTGTCGTACGCTTATTTCAGCTTTAAATACAAACTGAAAATTTTTAACTTTGGAATAAAACGTTATCTTATTTCTATAGAACAATTCAAAATTACGCATCAGACGAGTGTCAAAGAAAAAGCTCTCTGTATATTAAATCCAAAGAAAACACACTCGATTATATTACTTGCACAATTATCATTTTACTTGAAACAGTTTCTGTTTGTCAGAAGTAGTTCTTGACGCATCTTTGGGAATTCAAATCCTGATAGTCTTCTGCATCTGGAGAAATCCAGAGTGCCAAAGCTTCTGATTTATGCTACCGGTTGTAATACTCGTGGTCCCATATCGATCCGCTGCCCAGCCCACTTTACCTCACCCGGCGACCTCGCGACGAATCATCATCCGCTACCTTGACATGTAAAATGAGATTCCTTCTTTTCATTACTTTTATTCAAACACTTTTCGCCTTGTCGAAATACAATAAATATATTCTCAGGCTAGATAAACTTGAAGGAAAAGAAGTAAATGTTTTCAAAAAGATATAGATTCAAGCAAATATTTATAAAAAGAATGTAAAGACTACAGAGACTACAGAAAGAAATGGCGTTTCACTGTAGATGCTAAATAAAAAAAGCCTTTTATATGGAAAATGGCTTTCAGTTAGATTTCGCTGAAAGGACCATATAAAATGTGGTCCTTTTTGGAACATTACCTGAGTTGCTTATCAAATTTGATCAATATTTTTTCTTCGTTTAGATATGGCCATCACACATGTGGTGACACAAATTACGATAAATTATGCCAATGTAAATAATTGCGTAATCGAAAAAGATGTATACCTGTTGGAGATTGAGTCAGCACGTACCGATGATGCAACAAAGGACCCATCATCGTCGTAAATAGTTGCGATGCCGTGATTATATCATACGTGAGGCTTGGAGTTGGTAACCTCGAGTGGCCCAAGCGTCAAATGATAATTGAAGGTCGATTATTGAATAAAACAAAAGCACCATGCCGTTTGAATTGGTTCCAATTCGAAATCGGATAGTTGATGATATTCGCCGCAAACCATCTTTTTCACGAAACTCAAATATGGATTTCTTTTTAAATTGAAAAAGATTGAAAAAGAGAAGCAACGTGGCGATTGCCCTCGCTTCAGCTGTAAAGATAGCGCATAAACGCGCCGAGCATGACGCTCGTCTAAAAATAGCTTGGAGAAATATTTCATTCACGCGATACACGTGAATTGTTTCTGCTACAACTCTCTCCCTCTTTCACTTTATATTGCGCAAAAAGAAGAGAGAGTTTGTATACAGCGTATACTCTTTTTATTGTTTTGTCATTCATTTACATACAAATATTTTCAAGATACGTCTTACGAAACGAAGTAGTAGCCATATTCGGTGCTCGCTGTAGTTTGCGCTTTCGCTACAATTAAAAGAACGTATCTTTCGATACAGAGTAGTTTTGTCTCATTCACTTAAAATATTAGATCAACTTTGCGGCGTCCTTGAGCTCGTCTCGTCCACTTTGAGTGAAAAGTAAAACCGTTTGCGACTCCTTCGGTGCTTTACGTTTACGGTCAGAACAACTCATTGTGCGTAAAATGAATTTTTGTTGGAAAAAAGAATGAAAGAGTATTTAGATCTAATCTCGGGGAGAAAGGATCGCAAACGTGCGTTATATTATAAAATTGCAAGGCTACTGCCACCTTTTCCTCACAATCAGCACCGAATAAGATCGCCTTACCGAATGGTGATCAACAACGGTTAACAAGTACAAATCGTACCTGTACAATCTCCCCACCACGCATAAAGAGAATTAAAAAAAGTGTTTGTGAAAAACACGCGCTGATTATACGATACTGAACGACGAGCTGCTCTCTCGCAAGCTCCGTAAGCTCCGAATCCTAACGCACGCTGCGAGGAATCTATGAGAGAAATCTCGAGGGTTTGGCAGTCGATGGCTGTTGACGGACGCTGTTTGATTCACACGCGATCATTCAGCACAACATATCACAATTCGAGGTAAAGTTCGGCATGCCAACAACGGCGACTTATGATTCGCGTCATGTATCCTCGCACGCGCTCCTTTCGACTTTCGGCAACAATAATTTCATCGAGTTCAACGTTCGATGCTGCAAACGTGTACTTTACGTCACATACAGATGTCACGTACTTTCCATACCAAGAGTAAACAGGAAGATGGTTTTCACGATCTTATCTCTATCATTGAAATCCAAACTTATTTCTATATTTCAATTTCAAACAGTCCTCCCTCCCCTCTCTCTCTCTCTCTCACACACACACACACACACGCGCGCCCACACACACGCACACGCACACACGCACACACGCACGCACGCACGCACACACAAAAGCTAAACGGTTTTGACGATCCATTTTCGCGCCTCGTGATTACGCTTTGTGCATTCGGGTAATTATCGGCGTATTTTTTATCTTACATGACAAAAGTCGCGTTTGCCTCGCTTTTCGCCTTGCGCGAATTTTATTGAAATACCGACGATTCAGAAATGTTATCTGAATATGCATTTGATCGTTAAACTAGAAAACCACATGTATCGCGTGCAAGTCGCTCGTCCCAATTCATGGTCTCTAATGTTACGAGTACGCGATTCTTTCGAGTATCACTTATATCGAAGGCAGGACGAAGCGACGTTTAAAAGTGAAGGATACCATTCGTGGTATCGTGATGCTTACGACACAGCTTATTAATTAATGTTTACACATGTTAATCCGCAGTCATTCCGCACATATGTTTCTAAGCTTAAACACCAACATTTTCACTCGCACGAGTGAAGCCGGCAACAATGAATGAATAAATGAATGAATGTTGCACAAATGTGTATTATGGAAAATATGTGCAAATTTTTATGAAATTACATCATTAGCCCGCCAATTTTGTACAACTTGTATAAAAAGTAATAAGTGCGATGAAACATATACATATGATAATTGAGAAGAAAGAACGCGAATGAAATGATGATCGTCGCTGGTTTCACTCGTCTTAAACGTTCTTGTCGAATTTTTAAGTCGTTTATGCGTTCGATCGTTGACATTTCAACTTGACGATACACAGTGCTCATTAATGGTCTTGGTCAACAACCCTTTTTATCACCGTTCTCCTCGTTATTACCCAAGCCTTTTCGGCCCGTTCTCCTTAAATAGCTTTTTTAATCTTAACACAAAAAACACTCTTAATACTCGCGTTAAGACTATGATATGAAAATTATAGTTCCACTATACGCATATACTTAATATACTGTATCTACGTGCAAAAAAAGTATGCGCGGCTATGCATATCGCAACTTTGATAATGCGTACTCGCAAACATCGTGTAGACTCTAATGACGCGATAAAAATGCGTTGCATTAACGAGAACGGCAGATAGCCGCGTGTAAAGGACAAAAAAAAGAAGCAAATATTATTAACGCGCGGTTAGGTATATCGTAAATATACACGATGCTTCACCACGGCTATAAAGACAGATTCTAAAAGGAATTTGGAGCAGATTCTTCCTCAATTAAATATCGATATGCCAATGTCTCTCGAGTTATCAACGATTGAAAACGAAGAACCTTTCCCGAATTAAGCTTTAGAGAGAAACGTATAATAAATATAATATAAATAGTATATATATATCTTTATTTAAAAATATTCCTCTATTTATATATATATGTATATATATAGTGCATCTTCACTTATAATACATAGTACATTTCTCTCTCTCCCTCCCTCCCTCTCTCTCTCTCTCTCTCTCTCTCACTCTCATCCTTCTCTTTAACTTCAGATTTAATGCATGTCGATAAAATTAACTCGAGACTGTTCAATTATCATAATATTTAACGTTAAATATGAAAAAAGTGACAATGGTTTCTTTGAAATTGAGGAAAAAGTGTCTCTAAATTCGCAAATTCTGTCATTATGATAGAGGGCGAATTAAACATCCTGTATATCGGGAGGAAGGAAGAAAGGAGAGACGGCATGGAGGAAAGTAAAAGGACAGAGACGAAAGGAAAAGCGCAGAGCATAAGCGACGATGATAAGAGAGAACGAGTCGTCGCTAAAGTCGCGGCTAGAGAAACATTCGAAAAAGACCTTGCCTTTCGTGTCAATATTTTCACATTTTCTCCCTCTCCCACACATTGACAGCTCCATGTACGAAAAAGAACGGAAGAAGAAAAAGAAAGAAAAAACAAACAAATGAAATAAATACACGTTACAATAAAAGATCTATACATGTATGTATAGATGAATTTGTATGTACAAAGATGGAGTATGAAATATGTAGCAAAAAGCAGCGGAAAGGAATGCCTCGAGAAATACAGAAAGAGATAGGAAACAAGTGTATAGCATATAAAAAGATTAATGCGCGCACTCGCGCAATTATAAATTGCGTACGCGTCTCTCGATTATCGATCGAAACATCCGATGCATCCCGGGTCCCGGGGAGATGCGCAAATACGCTTTGAACCGTAAATCATTCTCTCGCATGGGTACAAAAAGGAAATAAATGTTAAACACGCGTATCGAATTCACTAATTGTAAGTAAAATCAAAATTTAAGTGAAACACAAGAAAAGAGATAAAACTGATAAAACATAGGAATTAGGTGATTGAAAAGTAAGCTTGCTGTCAAAATTTTACATCTTTCCTTGCGATATTATATCTCTCACTCCGATGATTCGACTAGAAATTGTCTTTCATCTAATTCCCTCGGAATGATTATCAAGAGTTCTTATGATTACGCTTATCATAAACTAGCGTGTGCCGATGTAATAAAACCGTACGTAATAAAGCGTAGTAAAGCATCGCGTGATAAAAAAAACCGTGTAAAATTCAGCCTTCGAAATTACGAGAATTGGTAGAGACTACCAACGTAAAAGTCCCGTAAAGTGGTAGATTTTATACGGTTGCTTCGATCAAGTAGAAAATTCGTTATTATTCATGATAATAATGAACGAATCAAGTATAATTGTCGCATTTTAACTATTGAATTGATCGAATGACGAAAGTCTGGAAATTCTATATTGAGAGTGTAAAATAAAATAGATGGAGCCTCGAGAAAGATAATATAAAAAGTAAATTATTTATCGTACGGATGTTCTCAATAACTTATTCGTGAACGTGTAAACAAATTGTCTAAATACAAGTGCTTGTAGAAAGCAAGCTAAATAAAAATTGTTGCTAGACGATTTTCTAGAAAAAATTAGCAAACTATATATAAAATTACAAATGACGGATTTCAAGAAAATTTTCTATCGACCGAAAAGTATCTTTTTAATGTGTAGTAATATACGACAGTAGTTGGTTTTCTCGAAGAACAACTACTCGTCGTATCAAACGTGCGAAAAACGTGAGTCGCACGAATTTAAATATTCGACATCGTCCAAATATGGACTAAACATGGAGATTTCTTAGCTATATATCGTTTAAGCGCAATGTTCTCGAGAATTTCACAATCAACGATCGTGGCATCCGTCTATCGTCTTTATTGCTATTTACAACGTTCAACATGTCTAAAAGTTGAGCGCGCCGGGAAACGAGGTGCGTTTCTTGGAATGTATTCGTCTATTATATTTTCCAAGAGTTATTATCGCATCGTGAGAAAAATCGAAAATGCAATTTTGCATAAATTAAGATGGCAGAGATAAAAACGAAAATGCGAAGAAAACACATGCCACGTCATTGATGAAAGAATTCTACGTAGAATGTTCTACATGAGATGAGATCGTTCTTGTGTAAAAGAATGTTGCAACATACAAAAGAAAACTTGGTCTGTCTAACCATATGAAATAAAAGATATGACGATGCGTAACTTGTACGTTGAAGTATAATTGAGCTTCTTTTTAGAAATTTTAATTGTATCGGTCTTGATATATAAATTATATAGAGTCAGAAGAAAGAGCGAGGGGAGAAATAGAAATCAATATCAATGATACTAAAAAAACCATCTTTCATTGTACTTGTGTTATATTTTCATTCGCGTATTTTTCTCGCTCAGAATCTATAAAGGTTTCTCGTGACTTTATGCGTGTAAAACAAATCAATTGTCTCGCAAACTTAGTTAATTGAAACTCAATTGATTCAACGTTTCGCTACGATTGTTATGTAGCAAATAAAAGGTTACGGTCACTTAAGACACTATAAGATTACTTACACATAAATGTTCGATATACATGAATGTAATCACATTACATTCCTGTAAATATGTTGTAAAAACCTGTATGTGGTTCTCAATGATACCGCTTTGATATCGAGCTATCTAGTCATATAACTCTCCTTAACTGTTTCCCGTTTCGTCCAATTCCTTTCACTTTCGAGAGCTTCATTTTGTGTCTTCTTTATCATCTTCTTTATCTCTTATTCAGTTCTGTTCTGACGGCTGAAAATATCAAATATTTTACATAAACATTTTTGTGTTTGCCTCTCGTGTATTACGTCATTAAAGGTTTTGCACAGTTGCAACTATACAATATATAAATGTTCATACCATCGATTATTTCTAGCTTCATTTTCTGAAATTCTTTCCGCACTTCTTTAATTATCTCCACCTTGAAAGCTTCCATCTCTTGCGCAGTGAGCGAGGTTCCGTCGTTAACGCCGTTTACTTTGAGGAGGGTGTCCTCCGAAGCCGAACCGAACCTCTTGCGTACCGATTTTGGTGATTCGGCGCCGTTCGAGAACTTATTATTCGATGCATTGTTCTTGTCCCAAGATTTCTTGTCTGGCGAACTTTCCGGTTCCTGCGAAAGAAATGGTTCAATTAATTTCTCCCTCTCTCCCGCTAGCCACGCCGATCTCTCTTGGAATATCCACGTTAGACGATGTTTACGTACCGGTGGTTGCTCGGGCTGTTTTTTCTCGGCGGCAGCCCGCCGACGTGCCAGAGTTTTGGCCATCTCGTCCATCATGGAAGCCATTCCGCCACCTCCACCTCTTCCCAAGGTGCCATAATTGCCGCCTCCTCCACCGCTTCCACTGCCGCTACTACTGGTGCTCGAGCCACTGTTCTCCACTGGTTGTGACTGTTGCTATTGATAAGGGAAATACGTATGAAACGAGTGACAAATGTATCCAATTGAAGGATTAAAATAAAAAAAGGGGTGAAAATTACCTGTTTCTTTTTAAGACGCGCTTGAAGGGCAGCGGCTAATGAGTTGGTGTCAGGCGGAGGATCGTTTGAGGAACTGGCAGCATTGGTGGAACTGTTAGCGTTTGGTACAGGCGGCGGTGGTGGCGGAGGCGGCGCGGCAGGCCCAGCCAAACATACCATCGGAGGCGGCGGTGGCCCGCCGCCACTTGCGATAGGAGCGTAAGCGTTTGCGCTGACCGTGTGGTGTGGTCCGCCGGTAGGGTACTGATTCACCGAATTTGATGGTGTCCCGTATGGATTCGTGGTACCCGCCGTGGTAGCCGTTTGTACCTGACCGGTACCACCATACTGCGTTTGGGACACGACATTGGTGCCGTACTGCGATTGACCGGGTTGCGCAACCGCGTATTGGCTTGCCGGACCAGGTGGCGGACCGGAGGCATACTGATTTATCGAGCTATTACTTCCGTACTGATTACTACCACTGCTACCATATTGCGCGGCTTGACTACCAATCGACTGGCTATATTGGGCTGTACTGACCGGTCCACCGGTAGTATAATTGCTCGTCTGACTGTTAGTACCGTAAAAGTTGTTCTGACTGCCGGATGGCGGAAATTGGTTCGGACTCTGGCCCACGACGGGGGCCGCGCCACTTCCGGTGCTACCGCTAGGAACACTGGCACTCGCGTATTGATTACTCGCAGGCGCGGCACCATACTGGTTTGTTTGATTAGTAACGTAGATGGACTGGGACTGTTGATTCGCCAGGTTTGACTGAGACGACGGCGATTGTGCGTACTGATTTATCATCATCGGTGGCGCTGGCACCGCAGACGAGTTAAAGTTCATCATCGTTGGTGGGCACGGTGGGGCGGGGGGTGCAATCGGCGGCTGAGGCGGTGGTATCGGAGGACCGACTCCCGGTCCCGCAGACATTTGCGGAGCGGCGGGAACGATACCGCCGACACCTTGTAAAGCTTGTTGTTGCTGTTGAGGCGGTTGTGGTGCCGGCGGCGCCGATGAGGTTCGATGATGACCAGATTGTTGTTGTTGCTGCTGCTGCTGCTGCTGCTGCTGCTGTTGCTGTGCAGCAGATGGACAACTCGGCGATATGGGATTGGGACTTGCAGTTGCTGCAAGAGAAATTTTATCTCTGAATTATATGTGCATTTCTAGTGTATTCTTGTATATACATATGCGCTCGTTGTAAAGTAACATTTTTATCTATAATATTCGGTGCGCGTGCGTGTGTAATATCAATTTAAATTGTTATTAAAAGTATAAATACCTTGACTTTGTTGAGACATTCTACGTTCCTGAATTATTGCCACATCCTCTCTAGTCATAGTTCTGTGCAGATATGGAAATTGGAATTAAAAAATGACTTTTCAACAAATTGATGCACAATGTACAATAGTAGAGCCAATCAACTAATATATAACGGACATAACAGATGTCACCTATCTTGTACATAGATTGTACTAAAAATTCACTTTAACTGGTTTGATAAGTATTTTCCACCACTGACACGGAGAGAAAAAAATGCTATAAAAGCACAAGTAAATTTAATTGTCGCGCGCTAAACATGCTAAATAATACTGGGCGCTACAAAGATTATTTTCTATTTTGCTATAAATATATTTCAGCTGTAATAAAATACTTTTACTCTACGTCACATAGGCTGTTATTAATAGGCGTTTAAACATTGGTATATACACGTACCAAGGCAGTAAAGAATTGTTAATCCGTTACATCATCGTATGGCGCAAAATACTTTTCATACGGAACAAGTTTTGAATATCGAATTTATCGAATTTATCGAGTATCCTGAATCTTGTAAGAAACGTCGACGAAAAAAAAGAGAAAAAAAGTTGCGCTCGGTCGTGCAATATATTCGAGTTATTTTGAGAGGCGCAGAGTGCAACAGACGGAGCGAATTCTCCCGCTTAGTCTTGGCGATTTTATTTTCGAAACATCGCGTAAATATCTTTCCGCCGATCCTCGGTTTCACGTTAGCTGCACGGTAGCTGCATGATAGCTGCACGATAGCTGCAGCTTTCACGTATAGATTTGCCATATGGAAGGGGACGAAGAAAAAAAAAGAGAGGAAACACACAAGTCGAAGGGGGTTGATTAAAACCGCTAAATTGCAAGACTCTTTGGACGAAAGAGGGGAACGCGGTGTTTACTACAGGGAAACAGGAGTCCTAGATAGATCTGCATGACCTTTAACCCATATTAACCTAATGCTTTCATTTGAGAAAAATGTGAAGAAAATTGTCTATACTATTTCAATGTGTCGTAGACATTATTCGATAAAAGATACTTTGATAATGGCAATTGAAGAAGAAATGGAGGTTATTACGGGTTAAAAGGACGGTAAGATCACCTCGAGTGTCCATCGCCCGGTGAGCCACGCGCACAGCCCATTTGAATAACGGTGCCAACAGCACCACTAACGGTCACGTGGTGCTCGGGAGTTGTGGTGGCGGAGCCCACGGGCAGGGCCGTCTGGCCTCCTGTAGGCAGATGGCTCAGGGACAAGGAGATCCGCGCGTTACGACCTTGACTGCAACCAGTCAGGACAGATGTCCGATTCGCTTTAGATAAACGTTTTAGACGGGGAAATTGAAAAGGGCCTGTGTCCGTAAAGTGATAGAAAGAAACGTGGTTGCTTGGATTTCGTACAAAAACGTGACTCGACTGGTTGTGTGCGCTGTATCGTATCTCGTGACAGAAAATAATTGCAGTAATGAGGTAACAGTCACGCTGTAAATCATTTGAGAGCGAAAAAGTAATGAAAAGAAAATGAACGAGACCTGTACCTGTACCCCATGTCCTCCTCATATTGAGCGGTTGCCTGGCTCTGCTGCTGTTGTTGTTGCGGCGGCTGCTGCTGCTGCTGCTGCTGTTGCTGCTGTTGCGGCGGCTGCTGCTGCTGCTGCTGCTGATAGGCGGTTTGCTGCTGAGTAGTCGTGGTGGTTGTCGGAGCGAGACTTCTTGATATGTTGCTACCATTGCTCAGCACCTACGCAACATCGCAACAAGATGCGATGTGTAATTAAAAGCTAATTAACAACGATATATCCAATTACAACAACGCCCAGCAAAGTCGGCAATTGTAATTGCCTATAACTGAAATCGATGTAAGAAACGAACGTTTTTTGTATCCTCAAGTTTCTTTTGTTCGTTTCTGATTAATGGCATCCTCGATTGAACTCGAGTGAATCTCAATGTTAAACACCGTAATAACTTGAAATGAAACAAGCTGGATCGAAATTGGAGAAAATCCGGGATAGTTGAATTCCAAGTAAGAATAAGAGATCGTAATAGGAAAAAATGCCTTACATCGAGTGCCTGGAGCATCGCCCGAGCAAAAGCATCGGCGTCGTCCTTACTGGAGAAGTTGAGCCCGTAGACTTGCTTGTTATCACGCCACTGGTGAAACGTGACCGTGGCCTGATTGTACTTGAGTCCCTTGAGAATGGCGCAGTTGATGACAATCTCGTGGTCCTGCAGCTTCCTGCCGACCACGCGGAACGTATTGTTCACCTGATGGTGATAGAGCTGGACCTTGGACAAACCGGACGAACTGCCACTCGGTATCCATTTCTTGTTGACGTCGTCGTACACCATCACCGAGGCGCGGGCGGATGATATGCTCACTTCGCTGTAAATGTCAGTGATTTGTCCAATTGAGTTTAAAGTAAGGAGAACGTGTATGTTTTTGTAGAAAGAAAAGTTGAGTCGAATTTTTCGTCGAAGGACGAGGGAGAAAATTGACGTGCGTCGTGTACCACGAACGGCTATCTTGTTGCCAAGAAGATCGTTGCTGGCGATAGCTCGTACGCTGTTGCACATTCACACGCTGCTGCGACGCGGAATCGTTGGATCGTTGCACCATCACGGAAGGGCGCATCCTGGCGAACGTGTCTTGATTCTCGGACGAATAAGCTTCGTAGGACCATCTCGTCCTGCCGTCGTCGGCTTTGGAGAAGGAGTTTTCGCGCGAGTCCCACATAATCGCCAAGAGCTAACTGGACATTTCGATCGTTATTATCAGAGAGCGCAAACGGAACAAGATGAACTTGCGCGCGGCGCGACGTAATTGAATGTCTGCGATTTGGTCCGCGGCCGCGCGCGCTCGCTCGCTCGCTGTCGCTTTCACTGAGAGTCTGTTGGCGAAACGGGAACAGGACGAGGTAGGATGTGGCGAGATACCACGCCACTTCCTCGACTACAAAGTATGATAACGCGCCATTTCGACAACGTTGCACGATCTTGACGATCAGCTGGGTCGACGATATGGGTCAGAGACCGGCCTTGTATGCGACGATTACCGGTCTAAACGCGTCTAACCAGTTAAGCCCGAGTTAAATATCATTGTAGCGCGCGTAATTACAGCAAATACAATGCGAATCCCTCCGTTTCAACGCTAGCGATCGCAAACAACCATTTACCGACTTTCGCAAGTACTCGTGTACTTGATCCAATGTTCTCCGAGGTTTTCGAGAGTACAAGACCTTTCTTCCAGAATCGCGGATTCGTCACGTTCCCGATCGCGCGCGGATTTATCATGCTCCAACTTTTAGAGCATAAAGCATAAATCGGGCTGTTGGAGAGCGCCGTGCATTACGTAAAAGTGGAACAAATTAGCAATGCTGCTTTTCACGTGGCGTCAAACAACCGTAAATCTCAATCGCGATCCTGCGAAAGCCTACGGCAATAATAAAAGAGTGCAAGATAATTGGGAAAGTCTGGCGAAAATGTTGAATCGTTAGTAATAAAGCGCGTCTGGTCGCGGTTATCTCGTTGCATTCTATCTACGGTAAAAAGAGAGAAGAAAAGTATTGTGCGCGAGAGGAAGCACTGACGAATCAAGTGCGACATTGAATATCGAATTAATATTCTACGTCGCAGCAGCGAGCACGCGTTACGCTTTCATACAGTTAGTTTATATCAGTCTGATCGACAATGACGAATCCAATCGTGACGACTCTATTAATTCTCGGCTCGGCGCGGCGCGGCGGACTTCCGCGATCGATGTGCTATCTCTTATCGAAAGAAAACCTTTGACGCGTTTTCAGACACGTCAGACTCCGCCCGCCAAGTATTTACACCTGCGAAGCGATACTTGAAACGTCTTGGTGGTTTTCACCTTGATGAAACGAACACGATCGCCGAAAGATTGTCGTAACACGAGCCGTGACAAAATTGTGGGGATCGAGAAGATACAGTTCTCTATAGTTTGGACGACCAAGAGGCAAGAGTCGCCAAGGAAAAATGTTTGCGGGTCGGTGCGGCGTCATGCGACAAGGTGCAGCACAATGAGCGCGACAATGGAAATTTAACAAAAGAACGTGCATGTACCTACGCGTATCAAGTCACCAGGTTGCATCCTGCGTGGACTAGAGACAGTGCACTCGTATTTGTTGCGACGTATACGCCAATAGGTCAAAGCTCCCTTCGGATCCAAGCGATGATTATAAGCGAGGGTAAGAGGGTAAAAGTAGGTTACTCGAGCAATCTGCACCATATCGCAGCATTAAAATTAATTAAGCTCGGTTGTTGAAGGTAAAATTGAAAGCCATTACGCGGCTTTACCCACGGTTTAGCAAATGACAGTGGGATACGATAGGATGGTTTGTTCTCTCCTCGCAGTAAGATCATCGTACTCGCTAATGCACAAAACGTTACATTTCCGGCAGGTATATCATCTGACAATGAGTTTAAAGAAATCATTTTGCCGTCGAGCGCGAGAGGATGAGACTGCGCCTCCACCGCCTCCGCGAAAGCAAGACCGAATGACGCGGAATTGAGCGGAAGTCGCTCTCGCGCGGCCTTCGCCGCCCCGACTTTTCGTCTCACACGCTCGATACTCGGTGACCAAAGAGAAACCCCCGAGATCGTCATCGAGACGAGAAGTTTGCGAAACGCCTAAAAGTACGTGCTTGGAAGCGTCACGTTGGAAATTGGAAATTTCCTATAATTTCAGACAATTGCAAACTTTGATATACCGTCTTTCGTCAATTGCCAATTGTCATTTCAAGTAGAGGACACATCAAAGTTTTCATATACGACACCAGTTGAGCGACAAGTTTCGAAAGTCGTCAACGGGACAAACCCGTGGTATCGAAATGAAATCATACCGAGTTTTCGTCGAAAAGCGTTCGATTCGTATCTCCCCTCGATAATCGCTTCGCTGATATTCTTGTTGACACAGTTTAACGCGGGCTTTATGCTTCGCAAAACTGCCTTTTCTCAAATATAATGATGGACGAGAACAATTTTTCAAGGACAAGATGTATATAATACTGCCTGAGCCAGTAATAATGCGGTACTCAGCAATTATGAAACCACGCTAGTCATGGCAAAATTTACGCAACGTTTGCTCGTTATTAAATATTAATATTGATCCAACTAGACTGATTTCGTAGTTGGTGCAATACGTGCAAAGGTAATTTAATGAATCGAAATAACGAGCGATATTCCTAAAGTCGATTATCTAAAAAGACGTAAATTGCACACGTTTCTTGACATTTTTCTGCGGAAATCCAAATCGCTCTTGTTACAACTTCAACCTTGGCATTTTTGAAGCGTCACGCCGATGCCCGAGACGACTTGGCGGTACACACCGCGATGTAATCTGATATCGAGCGGAATTGAGGCGAAAGGTAGCTTTTCTGGGAAATAGGAATTGACTGGGAATTAGCGGAAAAAGCGAGAGGTGAGTTGAAAGACGCCTAGCCCGGGCCCCGGCAGCTGCACGTAAGATGCGTCGCGTCGCATCGGGCATACATAGGAGGGCAGGGGGAGCAGAGGGAGTAGAGGGAGCGACTCTGCGAAGCGCTCGTGAAAACCCTCTTTTTCGGGCAGGGAGCGGAGGCAAGGTGTCGTAGTCGCGCTGTCAAAAATCGTTACGGTCCTTGCCCTACGTCGAAGGCAAAGGGGAGGCCGGGATTTAAACAACGGTCAGCGCCCGCCCTCCGACGCTGATCGATATCCTTTCCGAACGTTTCGTCCGAAACCTCGGGAGCCAAGACCGTCCGCGAGCACTCGAGACGATCGCGTCCCGATATTGACGGCGTGCTCTCCAGTGCTCTCCAAGTACTCTCCAAGTACTAAGTACTCTCGGCGTCTAGCGATCGAATCGCAACCGAGTTGAAAAAATCTCGCAGAGAGAGAGAGAGAGAGAGAGAGGGAGAGAGAGGGAGGAAGAAAGATATATGTGTGTGAGAGAGAGAGAGAGAGAGAGAGAGAGAGAGGTGAGCCCAGGAACTACCGTGGTCCCGGAGTCTACTGCTCCTTCTCTCTTTCCCTCTCGCTCTCATTCACGTATGCGTTTACTCACTTCATGTTTGCTTGACCGGTGAGCGTATGCTATGCCTTCATGCAAGCCGTATTCCTGCTTCTGCACAGTATATCACCGAGCCCATGAAAACACGCGAGATTCGGACAAGACTTGCGGTAGTTCGACATATAAATAAGGAGATTGAGTCTAGCGCGCGGCACTAACACCACCGTGACACCCTGCCGCTGCACATCTGGCCGGCCATATTGCCGACTCCGAATTCCTACTCCCTTCCACCTACACACTCGCGCGTACGTACGTACGCACGCCCACCTACACGACGCGCGACGCACGCTACCGGGGCACCACTCTCTGCACGAGCTGCAATCACAGACTTCTCTCTTATCTCCGCTTTACCAATGCTCTGTTTTCACCAGTTTTCACCGCGCATGCGTCAAGTGAATTGGCCCGTGATTGGCCAATTTCTTAAGCCCGTATCAGACTACGGATTGGGATTGGGATTAGATTGAAATTTGACCAATCACAGTAAAGTTTACTAATCTCAAGTTCAGTAACTTTTACTCTGATTGGTCAAATTTCAATCTAATCCCAATCCCAATCCGTAGTCTGATACGGGCTTTAAGAGGATCCCGTAGCCATTCTGTATTACCGACAGAATTACCATAGAGAGAAGCCTGAGAGATGTCACGGCCCCGTTTTTCGTGATTGGCGAATGCGATACGCCCTCTGTGGACATTGAAAACGTGGACATTGAACTATGTAGCCAATGTCCACATTTTGCTAAGTGGGTAACGCAGATTTGCACAATTTTAGCCCCGTCCCGCGCTATGGTTAGATCCCATGCAATGATCTTGTACTTAAAATAATCTTAAGTACAAGAGCATCGTACAGGACCTGACTATAACCCACTTGGCAAAATGTGGACATTGGCTACGTAGTTTAATGTCCACGTTTTCAATGTCCACAGAGGGCGTATCGCATTCGCCAATCACGAAAAACGAGGCCGTGACATCTCTCAGGCTTCTCTCTGATCGGACATACGGATTGAGCTTAAGATCAGATTGAAATTTGACCAATCAGAGAGCGAGCTGTCAATCATGGTTGCGCGCTGTCGTCGCTGTCGCGCGTGAAGTTAGCCGCGCACAGACAGAGAGTCAGTTGTCCGAGACGTCCGAGCATGGTGGGTGTGTCCGAGTTGTCATCCGCAGTTACATTCCGGTGCCTGTCAGCGTGAGTGTCGGTCGGTGTCGGTTGATTTCTCTCGTCGTCTCTATTCCTGTTGTCCGGCTTCGGTTTCAAGTGCAGCGGCGGATGATGTCGCAGGCCACGTAACGTCGTTTACGAGGAGACCGCGCCTGGCGGTGGTGCTGTTCCTGCCGCGCTGGAAAAATTCCATGTCGGTTGTCCATCCTGTCACTTAGGTGAGCGATTTTATACCCGTGGCATTTCGCCTCCCTCGACTTTGTTGTCACTCGGCTCACCGCACGCCAAGTGCCCGATGTCCTCAGGTCCGCAAGTAAGGGGTTGCGTAGTAGCTCTTTCGTCGAGAACGGTGGCGAAAGATGTTGGCCAGCGGCCAGCCGCGGCGTAGTCACATGTATTGCCATTCGCCAGCCCGCATCGATGTTGACGCACTGACGAGCGAGCACTGAAGGAGCCGTGGATCTCGAGCTGCCGCTTGGGGAGTGACGATGCAAAATAACTCCAAGACCAGAGAGATGTTTATCGTCCGAGCTTTGGAAAAGATACTGGCCGATCGAGATGTCAAGAGATCGCACCTCTCGCAGCTCAGGAAGTCCTGCGAGTCTGCGCTCGGTAAGCAGAGTAAGAGAGAGAGAGAGAGAGAGAGAAAGAGAGAGAACAAATATAATTACTTGTTTGTTGATAAAAAAAATAAGACTTAGCTCTTCTGTCCCTCGTTTTCCTGGAATCTTAAAGCCTCCTTTCGTTCATGCATGACCAAACGAGGTCCTGTTTGATTTTTTCCTAAAGAAATTGCATGTAAGGTATTGTTGAAGCATTTGGATGAGCTTCAGGAGTGATTTTAGCATAAATTAAAAAACAATGAAATGCATAAAGACATATGTATGTGCACCTAATTATGTACCCATACTATATGTGTTGCAAATGAATTCACTTGAAAATTGTTTATATATTTTCTTAACATTCCATCAGTTAGCTAATGCGAAATCTTTTTTTTCAGGCTGACGATAAATATCGCGGGCTCGCTATGTCGGCCTGAAGGGGTTAATTCGCATTCGCTCCGTATTTAGGGACGAGGACTCGCCGTCGTCGATGACGCTCAAGTCGCCCAAGTGCCGTCTTTGAGGATGCCGAGCGTCGTTCCTCGAGGGAAGATTGGTCGCCATTGAAACGCCAACGTCTTAGATTGTACGAAAGCGTGCTGGTTCAGTGACATATTGTTTTTTAATTCAGTTGTCAAACCAAAATGAGACATTAGTCGTTAAGCTGGGGTTCAGTCCGGAATTCCTGTTACGTTGCTCACTACAGTTGCTAATAATTTACGTAATTCCAGTATTAACATAGTGACTGCTCATTAGGTTTTACATTTATTTCTGTATTACGATCGCAGAGACGTTATTGACAACTTAGAAAGTTCAATTTTATGCAAAAGCTTGAGAAAGTTTGAGTAGCAAACAAGTGAGATGAGCGAGTTCAGGGGAGGTAAAGGGGAGACTTTGTAAGATGATCAATGTATTTAAACGATGTTTGATGCAACTGTGATAGTTTATAGACTTGCGAATCTGTAAACTGTGATAGTTTATAGATCATTAAACAATTCATCTCATTGTGATTACTCTCTCTTTCACGCATAGCAAAACTTCTCAAAGATTTCATTTCCCACTGTGCATATATGAGAATAATTTCTTCGAGAAATTTTTATAATAATTTCGGTGAATATCGATGAGATAATCAGGCGTTCCTGTATAAGGAATGGTTTCGCATAATGTTCCAAATAATGAATAATATAATGCGTTATTATTGTAAACGATATTAGATGTGTAATCGAGAAAGATTTTAACAGAGATTTTAAGCAATTGGTAAACACTCGAACTTACGGTCTCTCTTTTTTCTCGACTCTCGTATATTCCTAATCTTCAAAGCTTCTTCTGTCCCCGAGTACAATACAAAAGTAAATTTGTAGACATTTTTTATTGACATATAAAATATCTTAAATATTTAATTGTATTCAATGGAGCGTGCTGATGTTTGCTCACAGTTGGCGCAATTCCAGTATTAATATAGCAATCGCAGCTTTATTCCTTATTACTTTTTATGTATTACACTCGTAGAATGTTATCGAAAAGCTTTGTCGTCCGTCACAAGCTTGAAGAGTCAAGATTCGAAGAACATTGTGCTCTGTCGCCTGTTAAATCTATAAAATTCGACAGAAGTGCGCGCTGTCAAGGGTCAAGTTGAAATATGCGACCTTAACTCATTATCGCGATTATCAGCGGGTCGCTAATTTCGTCGTGGCGCTTCTTCGTCGTTGCAGCACTCGTTCTGGGCTGGCCCTAGTCCAGAGCTTGCGCGCAAGCCGCTAAGAAAATAATTCACGATTGCCGCTAAGGTCAGCCGTCAGCGGGCTTTTAAGTCAGTCGGTCAGTCGAGCCTCGCGATTGATTGGCCGTCGATCGGGATTATTATTTGTCATCAGGGGAAGAGTTAAAAGGGACGAGAGATGCCGGACGCGAAGAAAAGAGTATGCATCGTCGGTAGCGGCAATTGGTAATTTTTCTCTTGTGCCAAGGATAATTAAGTAGGAATTAGTTGCGTGCACGAGAGATCGTTTCTCCCCGCTTTCTCCTTTTACTTCCCCGTCTTGTGTTGATTTATTATGCTGCATGTGCAGTCTAATATTTGTTGGAGTCTTTCCTTCAGAAATGAGAGCTGTGTATCTTCTTTAGGTAAGTTTATATGTATAATCGTAAACTAATGTTGAATAATCGCTGGAAAATGATATAAGAAAGAAATCTGGAGAATCTTTTTATACTTAATATCGAAAGATTATATTATATTCAGTAATTAATAAAATAATTAATATCCAATGAAACGGCACTATTAATTTTAATGTAACGAATTGAATAAATAATAATTATGTTATGACAATATAAAATATTATTTACAATTTTTAGTAAGTTTTTATAATGATAATAATGTAATAATATGAAGGAAAAGGATTACATACATATTCGTTTATATCGTGATACGTTAAAAGAGAAAGAAAGTACATATACCATTCATCTCAGAATTAAATCTGATTTTAAAAATCAACAATAAGATAGATTATAATTTTATTTGATCTAGTCGCGGCGACAAACGCGCCACAGTGCAATTGTGCTGTCTGCTTATTGTTCCAAAATTAACTCAGCGCATCATCACGCAATTTCGAGGGCTCATAGTGTAGCTACATCAATTTAATAAAGCTTTGCAATTATATATCATTTCATTTAATTTCACTATTTTAATCATAGTCGGTAACTATACAAATATTATATATTTGATTAATTATGTGTGCGCGTATTACATAAAAATCTATGAAACAAATAAGTATATAAATGTATGAACTAAGTGACTAATATAATTATTTGTGTATGTATATATTTCTTTAACTGTAATATTGTTTGTGTTATAATACATATTATATTATTATTATTAATTATTGTTAATCGGCATATTTATTGTAGACAATGCATTATTTGTGCATATTTATTGTAGACAATGCATTATTTGTGCAAGAAATTTTTTTTATCACGGCAAATCATTTCAGGGGCTCGGCGATCGCAAAGATCGTCGGGGCGAATGCCATGAAGTACAACAACATATTTGAGACTCGAGTGACAATGTATGTATACGAGGAGATCATCAACAACGAGAAATTGACCAGCATAATCAACACCATTCACGAGAACGTCAAATATCTGCCCGGTCACAAAATTCCGGAAAATATGGCAAGTATCTTGTTCGAGATTAATTTGAATCTCGTTTATTTCATCCCCGGCGTGATGGCAGCATCAGCCGGGTCAGATCGTGCAGCGCCGCATGAGCGCTGCTCGCGCATGCCCGATCGCGACGCGAGGCGACCGCGCGACTTCATATACGTTACCGGCGCTCTTTGTCTCATAGCGACCGTACGTAGTACACGCGTCTTGAAGTGCGGATAGTTATCGAGTGTTCTTTTGTGGACTTTCTCATTTTCTCATCGAAGAATAGACTCAGTGCGGACACGCAGTGAACTCTCAGCAGTGCAAATCATCCAGGACATTTTAGATACAGCATCAACGGCAGCTCAAGCTCACCACGCATCGCACGCCGGCGCCGCGTGGACACGACTCACGGGCATCTACATTCACGAGGCCGGCTATCGATTAATATAATCGACCCGTGCAAGTGACTAAGGCCCGGTTTCACCAACGCGAGTTAATCTAATCGGTCGGTTAACTTGACAGGGTGCCAACATAAAACTTCTTTATTAACCAAGAAAATAGGTTAATAAAGAAGTTTTATGTTGGCACCCTGTCAAGTTAACCGACCGATTAGATTAACTCGCGTTGGTGAAACCGGGCCTATGGGCAAC